CATCCACTCACAATTCTTCCTTCCCTGGGCTTTGCTTCTGCTGGCTAAAAAAACGAGTAACCAACACATTAAAAAGTTACCGGCTACGAAAAAGTACCAAATAGAAGCGAAACTAAAAAGCGATGACACAGGCAACTGCTTTCTTGGGGGAAAATAAATATATATACTTTATATATGTACATATAAAATGTAGCAATGCCCTGGGATTATTTCCAGCATCAAACCTCAGCTGTGTCCTCAGTGCTGCGGCTGGGAAGAGCCGATGCAAAACGCATAGGGAAGGTTGCGTGAGCTGGAGGGGACGTGAGCGCCGTAGTTCATCCTGTTGCAACAGCATGGACACAAGGCAAATATTTAGGAATATTTGGGAATCTTTAGGGATATTAATGCCTGATTTTTAATGGCACCTGCTGGGTACTCTACAAGCTGGAGTTGAAATAGGCCAGGGTGTTTTTAGTAGTTGCAAGAAGGTGTCGGGAAGGGGAAGCGTGGGAAGCTCCATGCTGCAGTCACAGGTTTGGCTTCACCGGGAGGACCACGGAGTCCTCCGGATTAGGGCGATAATTCCGGCAATGTCTGGAGTCTCTGGGCTGGAGCTGGCTGGGCCCTGGTGCCCTGTTTCCAGCTCCCCTGCTGACCTTGGAAGAGGCATTTTTCCCCCTCTGGGCTCACACGGTTTTGTCTCCAGAGAGAAATTTTGCAAAAAGACAAAAAAAAAAAAATACAATCCCTTGGATTTTGGGGGGGGCTTTCTCCATTATTTCTGAATTTCCTTCAAAAGGAAGGAGTGGCAAATTCTCATGCACTGATGCAGCAGTGACTTGTCTCTGCTGCATCTGCTTGGACAGGCCAGTTGCCCAGCCCGGCATTGCAGCCGGAGCCGCTCCTCCTGCGGCACCGGGGCTGGAGCCCACTCCGTGCAACATGGGGCAGCGCAGGAGGAAGCGCTGGGTGGCGGGGAAAAATCCCTGTGGGGGCCAACACGTGGAGGGGGGGGTGAGGAATTTCCGTGGGGAAATAAGGGAGGAAATGGGGAAAAGGTTGCACTGAGACAGCTCTCTGGAAGAGGGAGATTTGTTGCAAAGGGCAAACGCTCATAGGCGGATGAGCTGTGGCAGGGGGTGAATTATTGCAAGACAGCAAATCACAGAGCGAGCGCATCCATGGGGCACTGCCATGCGGTCCAGGGGTGGACATTTCTGCCGGAGCGGTGACCTTGTCCTGCGCTAGGGACATGCGGAGCGCCCGTGACGCCGATCTCCCACCTCCACCTCAGGCGGCGCTCAGTGCCCAGAGATTTGGGGAGGGAGAAATGGAAAAAAAATGTCCATGGTCGTGGCAGGGAAACGCTTCCCAACCGAGTCCCGTTTTCCACGCCGAGGGGACCACA